TCCTTAGTTACACAGTAACTGCATGGTTTTCACACTATGGGAGAGAGTAGGCGAGACACCCAGGAGCCTGGATAATCTCCTTGCAGACTCATCACCTCCTCTGGACACCTGTGAGCAAGAGATGATGGCTGAACATGAAAACATCTTCTGAGCATTAAGTCTAACACTCGGCGGAGTTTAAATTTCAAACAACACTAGGGCTGCCAGATTCCAGCTTGGAAGATGTGGAGATAAACTGGAAGAGGCTCAGGAATCAGCCTCAGTGTCTGCCCAGGCCCAAACAAAGCCCCATTATATGTCCCGGTGCGTATGTGCAGAACAGCCCCCATTGAGGCATTTGTAGGACATCTGGCAACTCAAGATCATAAATTCGTTGCAATTAGGCCTCCAGCTATGTCATCCCCTGGAACTGCTCTGGCAAAGGTTGGGCTCATGAGCTCCTAATTGCCAAATCCATGTTAGCACTCTTGTGTTCATCACACAGGCCCTCTTAGCACTGACACTGTTGACCACTTGCTTCCTTTTCTTTTCCAAGACAAGCTTATTAAGTTACACTGAAGAATAACCATCACAGGTGACCTTAATTGATCTCTTGTACTGTACCCTCACAGCTCCTAGCTGCATACCACCCCCAGCCACACACACAAAGTTTCTAGCTGCACACTTCCCCTTCCCCCATAAACACATGCAGCTCCTAGCTGCATACCCACTCACCCCCAACCACACACACGAAGCTCCTAGTTGTATTTTCCCTCCCTTCAGTGCTTGAAGAATTGGGAAAGAGGCTATTTCGATTTTTCTTAAGAAATAATGCCAAAGAAAACCAAACCCATTGCCATCCAGTGGATTTTGATTCAGTGTGGCCTTGTAAGGACAAGATAGAATTTGTAATCTTTATGGAAGCATATTGCCACCTCCTTCACCCTCGGAGCAGCTGGTGGGTTGGAACTGCCAACCATCCAGTTAGCAGCTGAGAGCTTTAACTACCGCACCAGGAGGGCTCCCCTAAGGAATAGTTTATATAAAACTTTTAATAGGGGTTAGGTACTTAGAAGTCCCTTTAATGGACACTGGTTTGCATAAACTGTTTGCATTTAGAATTTTCTCTAAGGAATGCTAATTATTTAAATTATCAATAAAGTGTTTGAGTTTTAAGTTTGGTTAAATCATACCCTGGGGCCAAGTAAAAGGACTGACTGGCTCAGTAATGAAGCATTACAACTCATGCATATCCCCAGCAGGCTGCCAGCCTTGTCCCTTCTCCCCTGGAAATGGTGCAGCTCTGCTTAGCACTTGGTGAGCCACTTTTGATGGCAGATGCTGATAGTGTCAGATGACCTGATAATAAGGTAAACACGGGTTTACTTCTGCTTACTTAGTAGTCTGTAGCGAACAATTTCCCATTTTTTTCACCCCATCAAATCTTCTGCTTCTAGGTGTGGCTGGCATCTGTCTCTCTCCCAATATGATTCCTGACAGGGACAGAGTACCCAGCAAGGATGGTGAGCACAGGCTTACTTGTGCTTACTCACTAATCTGTAGTTAACAATTTCACATGGGTTTCACCACATCAAATTGTTCATGCATGTTAGTAAGTAAGCACAGGTAAGCCATGCTTACCTTTCTAACTGAGTAATCTGCCCCTACGTGCTGAGGACTGCAAACTTATAAGCAGGGGCCCAAAGCTCAGATAGGACAATGGCCAAACAGTCACTGGAGACAGACTTCAAGGTCAAAAGGCCAGGCTTTCCCAGAAGGCCAGACAACCAGACCAGAGGCCAAGGTATGACACCAGCACTAGTGAAGGAGATGCTAGATGGCCTGACCCATCTTCTCTCTGTTGTTCTTTCCCTTGTGGCCAGATGGTACTCACTACAGTGGAAACATGGATACAAAATGTATTTGTTCTTCTCCTTAGTTCTGTTGTTGAGGATCCAGGGTGAACTTTTGAGGTTAGGTCCCCAAGAGATGGTAGGGAAGGTAGCAAAATCAGTTCCTGGTGCTCTTGTGGTTAATTTGCAGGGTCCTTCAGAGACCTCCCCAAAGCTGAGCCCCTACCCTAAATGTGCATTGCAGGGTTATCCAAAGATATCTGACCAGGTTCAGACCAGATGGACACTGAGTTGGGAGGACCAGACCTCAGGCCTCAAGTCAGAGTCCTAACATCTGACCAGCTACAAGGAGACCTGGGAAGAAGGCCAAACCTGTTGGGTAGCATCAAGCCTCAGGTGCCTACCGACAAGGCCTTCTTGACATCCCAGAGCAGTGGTTCTGAGATCTGGCTGCTCGCTTTTAAAAGCCCCAGTCCCAAACTGTACCCCTGACCAATCAAATCAGAATCTCTGAAGGTGGGACTCAGGCATCAGTGTTTTTTTAAAAACTCAGCTGATGACTCAAGAGATCAGCCAACAGAGAGCCAGGGGCCTAGTTTCTATCCTAATATGGTACCCAGCTGTGCAAGCCAGAAACCTAGCCATCACCACCGTGGTCCAAACATTCGCTAAATCCTCCATGGCTGCCAACCTCCCCAACACCAGGGGTCACCTTCAGATGGAAAGCAATGTGCTTGGTGCTCCCGGAGTTATATGCAATGCCGTGGCCCTGTGTGGTTCTGCCACCTTAAGACCCCTTCTTCTTAGGAAACTTAGAGGGAAGAGAGTTTATATTAATGGGGGAGGAACAATTCCAAAGAGGAGGGTAAGAATGGTTGCACAATTTGAAGAATGTAATTAATGCCACTGAGTTGTAAATGTAAAAATTGTTGAACTGGTGTATGTTCTGCTGTGTATATTCTTAACAGCAACAAAAAATAACACAAATTATAAGGTCCCTTCCTCTATCTTCTCCTCTCCATCGCCACAGCTGCTGCCTGAGTTCAATCCTTCCACCACTCTGCTGGACTATTGCAATTGTCCCTTAACTGGCTCTTCCTGCTAATCCATTCTCTACACTGCACCAGATGACTGAAACACAACTGTTCATGCCACTTCTCTGCTCAAAATCTTTTATCAGGTCCCCATTGTCTTAAAAATAAAATATGGACTCCTCTGCTCAGCAGTCATGATCTTCTACCACATGGCCACTTTCTCATCTAGGCCCTCATCTCTCCCTCACCTGACTCACATCCTCTGACCTAGCCACATGGAGCCCCTCAACATGCCCCACTACTTCACACCACTGTGTCTGACAAACTCATCTTTCAAGCTCCAGCTCAAGGGCAGCTCCTCTTGGAAGTCTTTGTAGACCCTGCTGAGCCCAGCAGGTTCCTCGTGCTTCTGGGCCACTGTGACCCACAGTACACACACCTCCTGCATGTGTCCCACAACACTGCCATTATTTCTTTGTGGATCTATCCCTCTTCATCCTTTTGGCCACTTTACTGGCCAAAAAGACCATCTTTGCAGACCAAGGGAACCAAAGAAAAAGCCAACTGCACGACGCAGACCCACTTCCTCCTGCCACTTTGAACCTCCTCTGCACTGACTTCCCCCAGCATCGACCTGCTGGGCTTGGCATCTTGGCTTCATTTTCTGTGGGTGCCAACTGGAAACTATACTCTGAACTGGCTGCTTGTGACTGAGCTGGCAGGCCACAGGGTGCTGCCTCTGGGAACTTCCCCTGTTTTGGTTTAGCTCAGGCTCCAGGACATGCCACATGGTCCCCAAGCAGGAAAGGGATTCAGATGTGATCTCTCATATGCATGCTCCTTGAGGCAATGGACTGGGTCTGATTCTTCTTTGGATCTCAAAAGCCTAGTACCATGCCTAGGACTGGGCCTGGCCTCTAGTAGGTATTCAATAAATGTTTATTGGTGGATGGGTAGATGGGCAGGTGGATTTGCTGAGAAGGATATGGATAGATGAATGGATGGATGGTGTTTCTTTTCAATTTTCCCTGGTTCCTCCTGACCCCTCCCTGCCAATGGGCATACTTTTTCTGTTCCTTTATACCTCACCTCTGGCCATTAGCCTAGAGTTGCAATGGCCCCTAAGGGTAAACCCAGGTGCAGCTGGAAGAAAGGAGACCAGGGTTCCACATCAACTCACCAGGGAGGTCTTCCCTTCCCTGACTGCCCATTGAATTTAAACCCTTAAACCAAATAGCCTAGCACTTGATTTAAAGACTTGAATGGTTCTCTAATAAGGTTATCTACATCACTCATCCTCTTCTCCTGGCTGTACCTTGAGAACTGGAGAGCAGAAACACAACTTTTCTCATGTCCCCTCAGCCCCCAGCTTGGGCTTGGTACACAGTATGTGCTCAATAAATGCTTGATCACTGGGAGACCCCGTCCAGATATGACAAGTGAGGCTCTTCCTTCATTGAAGAAGGAGGATGAAGAAGAGACACCCTTCCTTTCTCTAGAATGTTCAAGCTCTGCAGAGGTGGTTTAGCATCTGTTTTTCAATCTGGGATAAATGTTCTGGATCAAGGAGTCCCATTAAAATGCTTCCCAGAGCACTTAAGGAATTACACCAGGGAGTCCTTCTTGGCAGCAGATAATAAATCAATCACAGCTCAATGGAAATGCTAAGTTGGAATGGGATCACTCAGGGCAAGCTGAGAAAGGAAGCCAGGAGCACCCTTCCTCTTGAGGTCCAACCTCAGACACACTCCTGTGGATTTGGGCTCTGGACTTAGAATGACCAACCTTCCCAGTGTGCCCAGTACTGTCCTAGTTTCAGAACTGAAAGCCCTGCAACCTGAGAAACCCTCAGTCCCAGGCAAACAGAGACAGTTGGTCACCCCAGCTCATCGCTAACTTCCCCAGTGTCCTTCCTCGTCACCACCTCCTCGGTATCCCACAAGTACATGTGGGCTGCTGCCTCCACTTCCCAAATATCTCCCAACAGTTACCTTGATAGCCAGTGTCTGGGTCAGCAGACAGTGAAAAGAGGAAGTAGCTCCCATTTCCAACCCTAGAGGTTGAATCCTGAATCTCGAGCCTCCTGCTGTCCTAAATACCTGGAAAAGGCAGAAAGGGAGCAAAGCAAATGTACCTGGAGGAGGGAGGCATTGGCGAGGCTGAGTCTGAAGAGGTAGTTCCTGTGAAAACAGAAGCAAAATGAGAAGTCAAGCTGGTTCTTCAGGCAGGACTCCAGGAAATAGCTCCTGGTTTGTGGGGTGCAGGCCTTAGGTGTCAAATCTTGCAGAAGCCTACAGTGGGCTGACTCCTGGGGAGCAGCTTTATCTCCACTAGCAACCCTGGGAATAGATGCAGAAAAAACTTCATTTTATAGATGAAACAGGCACCAAGAGGTTGAGTAATTAGTCCAATCACAGAGATAGTGAGTGAAGCAGTGGGGGTTAAAGCCCACACTTGTCTAACCCCTAAGGCAGTGCTGTCTCTACTCCTGGCCATCCCAGCAAGCACAAGGAGAGCCCCACCCACACCTCCACAACTATGGGTCCTATTTCTGTTCACCTTAAAGCCTCGCCAAGCTCCTCCAGAGACCTAGTCAGGCCATACCCCTCCTTGCCCTGCCTACCACCCTGGCCCACTTTCCCCTGATCACACAGACCAGCCATCTCTCCAGATTCCCAGGTGTGGGCCCCTAGGGTCCTGTTTGTCTCCTTATCTCCTGTAGTTCTGCTGCAGTCAGTAACTCTGGATCAGCCTTCTTTTCTGGGTCATACCTTCCCATGGCCACCTCCCCGGTCTACCCCATCTCCTCTTGGCCAGATGACCCCAACCATCACCTCGTGGTGTCTCCCTCACAGTCCAACCTGCATCAGGCTGCCAGATGTATCTTCCTCAAACACAGTTTTCATCACATTGGCCTGCTGCTCAAAAGTCTTAAATAATAATGATGATGATAATAATACTAATAAAAACAGCTGAGGGTTATTGAGCAATAAACAGTCAGGGCTCTGCTGAAATGGCTGTGTATGTGCCCTGGAGCTGGAAGGCTACTGTACGTAGGCCCCGGAGTCTTGAAGATGGCAGAGCCACCTGGTTGAAGCTCAGAGAAGTTCACAATGTAGACTCCGCAGTAGAGACTGTGAGAATCCCAGCTCCGCCACTTGTTGATGAGACCTTCAGAAAGCCTTAATTTTTGTGTCTGTAAAATGCAGAAACTAATGCCTGTCTTCCTTATTTCAAAGAAGGTTGGAGAAGGAAAAATGGTACATTACAAGGCTTTATCAATGGCAACCAGATACAAAGTCTTGGTTGCCCCTAAGAATTCTTTTTCTTTCTTTCTTATATCTTCTTTGGCTATTCCTCTTTTGGTTTCTGAAATTTTAGGAGCAATTCTTTTAGAAAGTTCTGGCCTACCTCAGCTATGCTAAGAAAAGAATCAAGGGAAAGGTTATGGAGTGGGCCGGAAAGAAAAGGAGGGGGCCTGTTGATTGAATCCAAGGGCCTGCCAGGGGCCTGAAAGAGATACCTCAGACCGGGGGACTTCTCTTCCCCAGCTCTGGCTCCAGGTCAGCCCCATGTTGCTTCTCCACTGTCCTGTGGCTGAGCGGGCCTCACTGGTGATCTTGGCTCCAGGTCTCTGCTGACCCTTCCCGGCTTTTCCCCTTTCCCCACATCCTTAGAAAAGCTTCCCCACCCTGTCCCTCTGGCTGGGGCAGATGGACTCAGGCTTAGGGCTTTGCCCCAGCTGTCTGCTCAGGTAACACAGGCATCTGCTCACAGCTTTAAAAAATTAGGGGAAACATTGCATCACTTAATTCATTTTTAACCCATCAAAAATCATTCATCACAACCTCACAGTCTGTTCTTCTGGGAGATGAGAATAGAGAGAAATATCTTTCACTCAATCTGCTCTCAACCCCTCACAGAGCAAGGCGGGGTAAGAATGAGCACAAAATTTCCAGCCTGAATTCCAGAGGTCCAAGGGGGTCAGGAAAAAAAAGTTGAAGCAGAAGAGGATGAAGGAAAGTGACCTAGAGAAAGGAGCAGAAGAAAGAAGCTGAGGACAGACTACGTTCATTCCAAGGAGTATGAGTGATCACAGAGGATGATGGAGGATTAATTTCCTCCATCAACTATCTGATAGCACAGCCAGGCTCAAGGTCCCAGGAAAAGGTATGCCTCCCCCAATGTGTGGGAAAGCCTCCAGATACAGAAAACAATAACCACTGTTTATACCTAAATTGTGAAGGGAAGCTCCAGGAAGAGCAGCCTGACCATAATCAAGTAACTTAAACTTTCATGGCCTCAGTTTCCAGACCCATGTTGTTGTTGTTGTTAGGTGCCGCTGAGTCATCTCTGACTCATAGCAGAGAAGAAAGAAACACCGCCTGGTCCTGAGCCAGCTCCATGATTCTTGCTATACTTGAGCCCATTGCCACTGCCACCGTGTCAATCCATCTCATGTCAATCCATCTCATTGAAGGCCTTCCCCTCTTTTGTTGACCCTCCACCCTACCAAGCATGACATCCTTCTCCAGCGAATGGCCCCTTCTGACAACATGACCAAAGTAGGTGAGACGAAGTCTGGCCATTCTCGCCTTCCTCCAAGGAGCATTCCAGCTGCACTTCCTCCAGGACAGACCTGTTAGTTCTTTTAGCAGTCCGTGGTACTTTCAGCATTCTTCGCCAACACCATAACTCAAAAGCATCAACTCTTCTTTGGTCCTCCTTATCTACTGTCCAGCTCTCACATGTATATGAGGTGATTGAAAATACTATGGCTTATGTCAAGTGCACCTTAGTCCTCAAGGAGACATCTTTGCACTTGAAAGATGTCCTTTGCAGCTGATTTTCCCAGTGCTATATGTCTTCTGATGTCCTGACTGCTGCTTCCTTTGGCGTTGATTGTAGAACCAAGCAATGTGAAGTCTTTGACAACTTCAATCTTTTCTCCATTTATCGTGATACCGCTTATAGATCCAGTGGTGAGGACTTTTGTTTTCTTTATATTGGGATGTAATCCATACTGCAGACTGTAGTCTTCAATCTTCATCAGTAATTACTTCAAGTCACTTTCACTTTCAGCAAGCAAAGTTGTGTCGTCAGCGTATCGTAGGTTGCTAATGATTCTTCCTCCAGTCCCGATGCCACTTTCTTCTTCATATAGTCCAGCCTCTTGGATTATTTGCTCAGCATAGAACGGATAAAATGGGGATAACCGCAGAACTCACCTCTTGGAGTTACAGTGATGAGTGGATGATTTGCTACATGTGGGGTGCATATGGAGCTCTGGTGGCTCAGTGCCTAAGGCATTTGACTACTAACCAGAGGATGGCAGTTCAAACCCACCAGTCACTCCATAAAAGGAAGACTGGACAATCTACTTCTGAAAAGATTTACTGCCTCAGAAACTCAATGGGGGTCACTATGAGTCAAAATTGACTCTATAGCAATGAGTTTGGTTTGGTTTTTACGGTGCATACTATAGTTTCTGGCACATAGCAGGTGCCAAATGTCTATTCCCTTTCACAGATTTCAAAATGCTTACAGCTCTAGCATCACAACAACCCTGTGAGACTGATAGCATAGGGACTATGGTCCAGAATTTACAGATGGGGAAAATGAGCCTCAAAGGTCAAGACCAATCCAGCCTATCTGAACAGGGCTCTTTCCTTTACTTATCTTCTTTTCATACAGCAAATGAAGGCATGGAGACACAAAGGGAAGCACAGTCAGCTACATGGCACACCCCAAAAGTGACAGCCTGCCCCTCTTTCCTTAACCCCAGATCAGCTGAATCAGAACCTCTGTGTTGGAGAGCTTCTAAAAAAGACCAATATAGTCAAAGTTGATAATACTGATATAGCAGAAAGAACATTAGTCCCAGGCTTAGGAGACCTAGGTTCTAGTCCCTATATTCTTTTGTCATTTTGTTATGCAATCTTGGGAAGGTCATCTTCCCTCCTCAGGTCCACTACTTCTTCACGTTTAAAGTTAGGGCAGCTGGATTAGACCAGTGATTCTCAAATGTAAGTGCGCATCAGAATCTCTGGGACAGCATGTTAAAACACAGATTGCTGGGCCCCACTCCCAGAGTTTCTAATCCAGTAGGTTTAGGGTCCAACCAGAAAGACCAAACTCACTGTCACTGAATGGGTTTCAACTCACAGCAACCCCCACTGGGTTTCCAAGGTTGTAAACCTTCATGGAAACAGACTGTCCCATCTTTCTTCCGTGGACTGGCTTGTGGGTTCAAGCCACCGACCTTTTGGTTAGCTGCCAAATGACTTAATCACTCCACCACCAGAGCTCCCTAGGTCTAGGGTAGAGCCTAAGAATTTGCATCTCAAACAAGTTCCCAGGTGATGCTGGTCCTGCTAGTACTGTTGGTCCAGGACTACACTATGAGACCCACTGGAGTAGACCATCTTTAAGTCATTTTCCCTATCAGATCTGCTGGTCTATGATTTTTGTAAGCAATTACCTCCTTCTACTCCACTCCATAAAGTCTCCGCAAGTGCTCCCTAGAGAGAAATATTGTTGAATATGGGATCTGGACCCATGCCATTGCCATCGGGTCAATTTTGGCTTATAGTCAGTCTATAGGACAGAGTGGAACTGCCCATAGGGTTTCCAAGGCTGTAAACTTTGCAGAGGGAGCTCAGGTACCATAGTGCCTAAGGCACTTGACTGCTAACCAGAAGGCTGGCAGTTCAAATCCACCAGCCACTCCTCGGAAGGAAGGTTGGGCAATCTACTTCCGTAGTGATACCACCTCAGAAACCCAAGGAGGGGTCATCATTTTGAGTCGAGTCTGACTCGACAGCACATAACAACAACAACAACAACAACAAACTTTACAGAAGTAAACTGCCACATCTTTTTCCATGGAGCAGCTGGTGGGTTCAAAGTGCCAACCTTTCTGTTAGCAGTCAAACACTTAACCACTGTGCCACCAGGTGCCACCAGGGCTCCTTCAAGATTCAGACAGTAGGTCGAAAGGGGATCAGGCAACAGGGAAGTGAGGTCTTTCATAAAAGGAGCACACTGCACCTGGCTGTCCCCAGGTGCAGATGTCCAGCCAGCCAGCAGGGGGCTCCTGGGTATCTTCTCTGCCAGGAGCTCTCAGGGAGGACTCCCACCTGGCAGGTCCCCACAGCCTGGCAGGGATGGAGGTGAGAGGTAGCCGGCAGGTGCCCCTCCTCTCAATAACTGCCAACCACTGAAGTTGGCTTGTTGAGATCCAGAGGTCTGGGGGTCCACCCCCACTCCCACCCAACCACCACACTCTTCCTTCTGTGAGGGACACTGACACAGAGAGGGCTTGGCAGAGTAAACACAGGTCCAGGACACAGGTCTGCCCAAATAGTACCCCCTCTGCCCAATTCTAAAGCACCCCCCTATCCTGGCCCGGACCCTCCTATGACCTCATTACCTGGCTCCCACAATGAGCTGGTTCCTGGAGGGATCCAGGGCAAGCTGAGAGAAATCTCGGGCTCCAGGATAGGTGAAGTTAGAGACCCATGGCTTCAGATCTAAAGGAGGAGAGGCAACCATTAGGTTACTGAGTCTGACCAGGGCTCCCAGCTGCACCAGCATCACACCAGGGAATGGAAGGGGTGAAGTCAGGGTGAATGAAGTGCCCTTCTCTGTCTCTAGCCAGCTATGTGACCTGAGTGGGGTGAGGGTGAGTGCATCACAGTTCCTGCCATATTCCTCAATGCAAAGAAGGGCCCCAACCTCCCCCAGCTGCCCAAAGGGAAGCCTGAATTGTCCTTGACTCCTCCCAGATCCTCACCAGCCACATTGAACACACCAGCAAATCCTGTCTGTCCTACCTCCAAACTGTCTCTGAAATCCATCCACTTTTCCCTTTCCATACCCTCCTATCTAAGCCACTAACATCTCTTGCCTGGACCAGTGTCAAAAGACTCCTAACTGATCTCCTGGCTTGTATTCCTGCCCTCTACAACCCACTTCCTTCATGACAACCAGAAAAACCTTTCTACAATGCAAATCTGGTTATGTCACTCTCCTGTTTAGAACTCTTCAATCATTCCCAGTTGCTCCCAGAAAAAGCCTAAACAAACTTCTTGTGATTTATAAGGCCTTTACATTTTAGCCCAACTTTCCTCCCAAGTCAAATGCCTGGAACATGTAAGATGTTTATTTAATTTAGTGATTGATTGGAGAAAAATATGATGCTTCACCTTTTAAATCCCTCTGCAAACTCTCTACCCCACCCACATAAACCAGAGCACCATGCACTTCCCCAAGTCCATCCCATGAGAGCCTGCAAACCTTTGCACCTCTGTTCTCTCTCGATAGAAGTTTCTATTAACTCCATTCTCATCCGGCCTCCTCCAAGAAGTCTTCCTGGATTTGCTCAGGCCAGGAGTAAGGACTCCCATACTTTACCACTAGCATTGCCCCCACCTTGCGGCAGATAGCCTAACAATTGCTCTGGAGAACAGGAAAGATCTTGTTCCTTGGATATCCAGGCTCAGTCTAGCACCCCGAAAAACAGGTCTTCAAATAGGCTCCACAGAAGTAGGAGGCAGGGAGGTGGGAGGTCAGGATTTATCCTTGTCTCCAAGGAAGACTCTTCCTAGCCAAGGCTGAAGGCTTTCACAGGGACTGGGTGACACAGAGGGGAGACGTCACAGCCCTCTGGATGGGTGAGGAAAGGTGTCTAGAGAGGATGCCTCTGGAGAACAGCACCCAGCTGATTTCCCCTTTCACTCTACCTGGAGACCCATTCTCCCGTGTTGGTCTGCAGCCCCCTAATAACTCCCTCTCAGCCTCTGACTCATGGATGGGAGGGAACTGGCATCAGTAATGAGAAAGCCACAGGGCAGAGAAACTTTCATATCAACAAGGCACAGTTGCTTTCTCCTGATACATTCGTGACCAGCTCACAGAAGGCCCAGGAGTGTGTGTACATGAGAGAGAAAGAGAGAGAGAGAGAGAGAGAGAGAGGGAGAAGTGTGTGCATGTGCGTGCGTGTATGTGCAATCCAAAGGAAATAAATCATTGCTCATTATCCCTTCACTACAGAGTAAAAGCAGCCCTTCATTTCTGCACGACAGGCAAACACTTAATCGCTCCCTAGAGAACTGGAGGTTTTGAGAGTTGGATGTTTTTCAGAAAATTGTGATATGCATGACTTAAGGAAGAAATTCTGCAGCAAAATGAAGCAAACCCTTTGGGCCTGCCTCTGCCCCCAGCAGGTGACTATAGATTGGCAAGAACGTCACATAGCCTTGATGTTGTCTGGGTAATATCAGGTATAAGGAGAGTATCTAGAGTCAGGGGTGGACTGTTTTTTATCTGACCTCAGGGCCACTCAGAAATCCTGGTACCTTAGAGATTAAAGTAAAGGACCTCCTCCTCCAGGAAGCCTCCATTGCTTATAACCTCTTCACTTGATCATTATTTTGTTCCATATCCTCTCTACCCTTTCTGTTCCAATCACATTGTGTGCTATTGTTACTCAGAATGTGCTCATTTTCTGAGTATGTATGGTGGAAGTGGGGTGGTGAGCGGCTTGCTTGCTCCTATCAAACTGGGCGCTCCCCAACAGTAACAATTAGGTAACATTTTAATTTCCCCCTTTTCTTCCAATATGGGTATCTGAGATGGGGGCAACTGAATGAGAAAAGAGGTAGCATGACTGGTCTGCAGCAAATTCCAGGAGAAACTCCACCTGGGGGCTTCTCAGCTCAGTCTTTATTCAGGGTACTTCATGAGAAGGGAGGGCAAGAGGAAACAGGGCAGGAGATGGGCTGACGATGGGGTGGTGGGGGTGAGGGGAGTGGAGGGTGGTAGCTCCTCCCAGTTTCTGCCCCTCTAGCCCTGAAGAGATGGCCATGGGGAAGGGGCGAGGAGTGGGCAAGGTGGGGTATGAGGGGGGAGAGCAAGGCAGTCAGGCACAGCACGGTGATCCTGGGGGAGTCATCTTGGGAAAGGAGCCAGCCTCCTTTTATTAAACAGGCAAAGGGGACCAGAGGGAAGGCTTTCTTTAAAACACCAAGCACGTTCCAAGCACCGTGTGCAGCGGAGGCTTTGGACGGCGACTTTAAGAGAAAAAATGACATTCTCCATGACGCGCCTGTGATTTTAATTATAGTCAATTCAATTACCCACTTTGTGGATTAACCACTGCCGATATTTAACTCCAGACTGGCTTCTCTCTGCCACCTAGAATGGTAACTCCGTGGCAAATGGAATAATCCACAGGCCAAAAACAAACACGGGTGGCCCCCCCGAAACGAAGCCATAGCAGGAAATTTAACCTTACCAAACAGAAAACGTCTGTCAGATTCTGCAACTGGCAGCTCCTCTAGGGTATTTAGGGGTTATTCACAGATCAGTCAGGTGTCGGGAGAGAGAAAAATCACAGCTACATGGTTAGAAGCCTACAGAGCAGTTAGAAATAGAGTAACATCTGACGGAATCTTGGAAGCAGAAGGTTGGTGCTGTGCTAAATTTATGGCAACTTCCCCGGAACAGCCATCACTCTGAGCATAGTCAATCATCCAGCATGAACAGAATCCCTACTGTGTGCTCAGCAGTGCTAAGGGATGTGGGAGACAAGAGTCCTGGTCCTAGTGCAGGACCCACTGCACTGGGGACAAAGGAAGTCACAGGGACATTTAATAAACAACAGGAGATAATCGAGTGCTCACAAAAAGTTCTTGTTCACCTCTGAGACCCCACAGTGTCCCGTTCTGTGCCTGGTGTCAAGCAGGGCCCAGTAAAAATCTAGTGAATGGACAGGAAAACCCAAAGTTGTTAGAAAGGAGAAGGGGTGAGGAGTGCAGAGCTCAGGAAGACAAGCAGAGATGATTCAAGCAAAATAGGAAGAATTGGTCACTTGATATTAATCACTGTTGTCAATCTGAGCCTCAGTCCTTCATTCTGAAAGAAGGTGGGGAGGGAATCAGTGTCATTCAAGTGATTCTCATCTGAACAGCAAAAACGGCCTCAAGGAGATTATATTGAATGGTTGCATAATATGAACATAATCAATGTCACTGAATTACACATATAAAAATTGTTGAGTTAGCAAATGTTTGATATATATATATCACAACAATAATTAAAAAACAATGGCCTCAAGGAGCCCAGGTACCTAAGCAGCAGCTCCTGCACCCCACACCTGCCCAATGTGCCCAATATAGGCCAGCCTGGCTGGGGCACAGGGGTTCCTCTGCCCCCACAGTCAGCCAAGGGAATACTGCCCCCAGCAAAGCCCCTGAGAGGAAATGTTTCATTAGGAGCTGTCTGTCACAGGGGCCCCCAGCATGAAGAGGACAGCCCTAAGGACTCCCTCTTCTGTACCCTCAGGGACAGCCATCAGCACTCCAGGAGTCATCAGAAGTCTGAGGGTGTGTGCATGTTTTGTAGGCTTAAGGACATTGCTAATTCACTTTAATCCATTTAAGCCTTCAAAGCCCTGGATGCCAGCTCAAACAAGACAACATGGAGAAGACAGTTGGCAACCTTCCTCACAGAGACAGGAGCTAGCTCCCACAGCTGGGAACTCCATACTTCCAGAACACTCTCAGGCTCCTCACTTAGTAAGCCCCAACTCTTATGCATATCCCACCCCCCAAAATAATCCTATGCGTTTCTGACTCTTGATTTCCTTTTCGGCTCAGGTTTCCATCTTTCCTGATGGGAGGGACAGCATGTCTCCCAACTAGGGTACAGGAGGGTGGGTGAAAGACCCCATCAGAGGCACCTGATCACTCTGCCATGGGTACTGTGGAAACAGCACTGGCTGTGGGGTTAGGAGACCAATGTCAAGGCCTGGCTGTGACCAGTCTCTCTGATTTTCTATGCTTCAGTTTTCCCATTTGTAAAAGGCAGTGATAGTTCTCGCCTTGCCTGCCTCCTAGAGTTATTATGAAGAGATTCCAAATAGGACAGTGTTGGTCAGGCTTAAGAACCCGGGGACTCCTGAGACTGCACGTGCAGATGCTAGTACATGCTACCAATGTGATCCTGTCAGAACCAGGGCCCTTCAAGCTGATTAAAAGGTGATAGATTATCATTAAAAGAGATTGACATGCTAATTTTAGAAATTATTATAGAGAATTTATGTTCCCCTCAGAATATGCCCAGCAATCTACAAATCCCAGTTTGGGAAACACTTTAATAGGACACACCTAACGCATTCCCTTGACAAACAGAAGGAGTTATTAGTCACCAGGGCCCCTTTCCCTGGGAGCTCCCAGGATCCCAAAGAAGGACATTCCTTCAGCTGTCTTAGAGCAACAGACAGCTTTATGGAGACCTCCAAGCACTTCCTAATGAGTGAGTCATCTTCATTTTCCTTTCAGGGAAGCCAATGCTTCCAGAAGAGCTAGCGGTGAGACTACAACCAACTCCTGGCCCACCTCCAACCAAGCTTCTACAACTTTGTTCTTTAGCAAAGGTGTCCCACAGAAAGAATGCCTCTCCCTCCAGATAAACATGGATGAAGGGGCTGAATAAATCATGTGGAGACTAAATTCTGACCCCTCCAACTCATCACTCCTCATCCTTCTTAAAACATCTATCCCCAGAGGAAGTGTCTCAGTACCCTACAGGAAATGAATGTTCCAGGGACTTCCAACAGTCAGAAAGACCCTGCTGAGATCTGGACTAATTCCTTCAGGGTGCATTCAATGTGGGAAAAGTATTGAGTGGGAGGTGACTCTCACCTTCAAAGGCCACGATGGGGTGCTCCCTCAGGGTGCATAGCTGCTGCTCACTGCTGGGTTCACTGGAGATGTCCTGGGAGCTGGAGAGGTGGAACACTAGCAGTATGAGGCTGGGCAGCAACAGGGTGACAGCCAGGGGTCCTGGGACCACCATGGTGTGGCCCCTCTGCAGTCCTAGCTTCTGGAGGCAGGCTGGGGAGAAGACCTGCAATGCAAACACTCAGTCTCACCAAGTGCTCCCACTTTCAGTGCCCACTACTCACAATTTCCTCGTGGTTGTCAGTGGCCCCACAGAGGTTTTTCTTTTTAAGTAAATTAGTATTTTATTTACTGGTGCTCTGGTAGCATAGTGGTTAAAGCATGCGGCTGTTAACCTAAAGGTCCATGGTTTGAACTCACCAGCCACTCCACAATAGAAAGATGAAAAGTCTCCTTCCATAAAGATTTACAGCCTTAGAAAGCCTATGGGGCAGTTCTACTCTGTCCTATAGGGTCGTTATGAATCAGAATTGAGTTGATGACAGTGGGTTTGGTTTTTTAGTATTTTATTTGTGTTCTTTAGAGTTTGCTCTAATAGTCCAAAAATTATAGATTATATCATGAAAGCTAATTTTCCGTGTAATGGTATTCTGGGCAAAACTAACAAATTACAGGGCTTTTTCTATTACGGTTCCAAATGGTTTAAAATTAGCTTTGATGGTAAAGGTGGAATCTTAGAGACCATTTAATAAATGGAGTTGAGAGAAAAGGGTATCCATTTGTAAAAGGATAAAGTTGGATCCACAATCAGACCTTATACTAGGATAAACTCCAAATGCCTAAAAGATTTAAATATTAGGAATAAAACATAAAAATACTAGAAGAAAATATAAGCAGAATCCTTTTTAACTTTGGAGTGGAGAGCTATAACTCAAAATGCAAAAACCATAAAAGAAAAGATAGAAAAATTTGACTACATAAAAATTGCAAACTTCTGCGTGCCCCAGAAGAAAGCAAACAAAATTCAAGCAAAATCAAAAGGCAAATGACAAACTGGAAAAAAATATTTGCAAATCATACCACAGGCAATAGGCTAATATTCCAAATATATAAAAAATTCCCAGGGATCAAGAAGGAACAATCCATTAGGAAAAATGTGCAAGGAATATAACTACAAATGGGGCTTAAAATTATGAATAATGCTTATTCTTATTCTCACTCATAATAAAAGCAATGTAAATTAAACTCAGACTGAAATACTACTTTTCATCTAGCAGCTGATCAAAAATCCAAGCTAGACTACACACTCTTTTGATGAGGTTGTGGGGCAAGGGACACTCATATGTTGTTGGTGGTATGCAAAATGGTATAATCTCCGTAGAGGGGATATGATCGTATTTGACAGTATTACACATGCATTTATTTACCTTTGACCTAGTAATCTAATTTCTGGGCATTTCTGGGTGGTGCAAACTGAAGGTTGGTGCTTCAAACCCACACAGAAATTTGCTTCTAAAAGGTCGCATCCTTGAGACCCTACAGAGCACAGTCTACTGTGACACACATGGGTCTCCATGAGTCAAAACTGACTGGGCAGCAGCTGATTTTTGGTTTAGACAGTGCTACTCCAAGTGTGGTTCATGGACAAGTGTCCACCTCCAAACTGTAACAACTCCATGATACGTGTAGAAATTTGAGAGTGTGTAAAAACTTTTATAGTAATTTAATAGTGACTTTATGCCTATTAAATCTAATCATTAGAGGCAGATATCTCTGGGGGGGTTGGGAAGGAAGCGAGCGGAGTGGTTTGGAACAGCTAAGGGAGACAAACCTGTCTATCAGTTTGTCATACTGTGGTAGTTGCTAAGACAGACTCAGAAGAAGGAAGAGACCATCCACTTCTCAAAGAACTGGCCAGTGAAAACTTTATGAATAGAAGTGAAACACTGTCTAATATATTACTAGAAAACTTTATGACTAGCCCTAAACATTGTCCAAAATAGTGTCGGAAAATGAGCCCCACAGGTCGGAAGACACTCAAAATATGACTGAGGAAGAGCTGCCTCCTTAGAGTAGAGCCGACCTTAATGACGTGGATAGAGTAAAGCTTTCAGGATCTCCATTTCCTAATGTGGCATGACTCAAGATGAGAAGAAACAGCTGAAACATCCATTAAAAACTGGAAAATGGAATGTACGAAGTATGAATCTAGGAAAATTGGAAGTTTTCAAAAATGAAACGGGATGCATAAAGATCAATATCCTAGGCATTAGTGAGCTGAAATGGACTAATTTTGGCCATTTTGAATTGGACAACCATATGATCTATGCCAGGAACAACAAATTGAAGAGGAATAGCATGGCATTCATCATCACAAAGAATTTATCAAGATTGATCCTGAAGAACAATGCTGTCAGTGATAGGATAACATCCATATGCCTACAAGGAAGACCACTTAGTACTACTATTATTCAAATTTATGCACCAACCACCAAAGCCAAAGATGAGGAAACTGAAGATGTTTACCAAATTCTGCAGTCTGAAATTGACCAAACATGCAATCAAGATGTGTTGATCATCACTGGTGATTAGAATGCAAAATTTGGAAACAAAGAGGAATCATGGGTAGTTGGAAAATAAGGCCTTGGAGATAGAAATAATGCTGACATCACATGATAGAATTTTGCAAGACCAACGACTTATTCATTGCACATACCTTTTTTCAACAACACAAATGGTGGCTATACATGTGGACTTCACCAGATGGATCATGTAGGAATCAGATTGATTACATCTGTGGCAAGAGGTGATGGAGAAGCTCATCATCTTCAGCCAAAACAAGGCCAGGAGCAGACTGTGGAACAGACCATCATCTGCTCATATACAAGTTCAAATTGAAGCGGAAGACAATTGAAACAAGTCCATGAGAGCCAAAATATGACCTTGATTATATCCCTCCTGAATTTAGAGACCCATCTAAAGAATAGATTTGATGCTTTGAACGCCAGTGACCGAAAACCAGAGGACTTGTGGAATGACATCAAGAACATCATCCATTAAGAAAACAAGAGGTCATTAAAAAGACAGGAAAGGAAGAAAAGACCAAAGTGGATGCCAGAGACTTGCCCTTGAATGGATAAAACAAATGGAAGAAATGAAAAGATATAAGAGCTGAACAGAAGATTTCAAAGAACAGCTTGAGAAGACAAAGTCAATTGCGATAACGAAATGTGCAAAGACCTGGAGTTAGAAAACCAAAAGGGAAGAACACACTAGGAATTTCTCAAGCTGAAAGAAATGAAGAGGAAACTTAAGCCTTGAGTTGCAATATTGAAAGATTCTATGGGCAATATATTGAATAATGCAGGAAACATCAAAAGAAGATGGAAGAAATACACAGAGTCACCATACCAAAAAGAATTGGTTGGTTTTCATCTTTTTCGGGAGGTGGCATATGATCGAGAACCAATGGTACTGAAGGAATTGGTGAAAAACAAGGCTCTAGGAATTGATGGAATACCCACTGAGATGTTTCAACAAACAGATGCTGTGCTGCAGGCACTCACTCAGCTATGCCAAGAGATTTGGAAGACAGCTACCTGGCCAACTGACTGGAAGAGATCCATATTTGTACCCATTCCAAAGAAAGGTGATCCCACAGAAGGTGGAAATTATCAAACAATATCATTAATATCACATGCAAGTAAAGTCTTACTGAAGATAATTCAAAAAAAGTTGCACCAGTATATTGACAGAGAACTTCCAGAAATACAAGCTGGATTCAGAAGAGGACATGGAACAAGGAATATCATTGCTGTTGTCAGATGGATCTTGGCTGAAAGCAAAGAATACCAGAAAGATGTTTACTTGTATTTTATTGACTATGCAAAAGCATTCAACTGTGTGGATCATAACAGGTTATGGATAACATTGAGAAGAATGGGAATTCCAGAACATTTACTTGTACTCATGAGGAACCTGTACATAGATCATAAGGCTGTTGCTCAAACAGAGCAATGGGATGTCGCATGGTTTAAAATCAGGAACACAGTGCATCACGGTGGTATCCTTTTTCCATATTTATTCAATCTGTGTGCTGAGCAAATACTCCAAGAAACTGGACTATATGAAGAAGAACATGGCATCAGGATTGGAAGAAGAATCATTAACAACCTGCAATACACTGACAACACAACTTTGCTTGCTGAAAGTGAGAAGACTTGAAGCATTTACTGATGAAGATTGAAGACTACAGTCTGCAGTATGGATTACACCTCAATAGAAGAAAACAAAAATTCTCACAACTGGACCAATAAGCACCATCATGATAAATGGGGAAGACAGAAGTTGTCAAAGACTTCATATTACTTGGTTCTATATTCAACACCAATAGAAGCAGCAGTCAAGATATCAGACAACATACTATACTGGGCAAATCTGCTGCAAAAGATCTCTTTAAAGTGTTGAGAGCAAGATGTCTCCTTGAAGATTAAGGTGCACCTTAACCCAAGCCATGGTATTTTCAATCGCCTCATATGCATGTGAAGGCTGGACAATGAATAAGGAAGACCAAAGAAGAGTTGATGCTTTTGAGTTGTACTGTTGGCGAAGAATACTGAAAGTACCAAGGACTACTAAAAGAACTAACAAATCTGTCCTGGAAGAAGGGCAGCCAGTCTGCTCCTTGGAAGTGAATGGCCAGACTTTGTCTCACCTACTTTGGTCATGTTGTCAGAAGGGACCTTCTCTGGAGAAAGATTTTGTGCTTGGTAAAGTGGAGAGTCAACAAAAAAGGGGAAGTCCTTCAACAAGGTGGATTGACACAGTGGCTACAACGATGGGCTCAGGCATAGCAAGGACCGTGGGGCTGGCACAGGACTGGGCAGTGTTTCGTTCTTCTGTATATAGGGTCACTATGAGTCGGAGATGACTCGACGGCAGCTAACAACAACAACAAATTTAATAAAATATTTGGGTTTTTGTTTATTGCATTTTTTTCCAATTCAGTTCTTTAGTGATTTATTTTTATTGAGTTTCACATAATTATTCATATGTGACAGATTGTAAATTGACAGGAAAAAAAAAAGAAAGAAAAGCTGCTCCAGCACCACAGATAGCTGAGAAGCAATACTAGATTCCAGTGGTGCCCACACATGTGCAAATTGACTCATGTAC